TCTTAAAGCAACTGCCTAGGCACTTTGTGCGTGATGCTTTGGCAGAATCTGGGATTTCTGATGGCCCGCACCTCAATGAGGCCTTGCAAATTTACTTGACTGAACGACACCTCATACTTCGTGGTTCTCTGAGTGAGCTCAATGACGATGCTAGCAGTGCCAAAGTCTCTGTTTCGAAGCGAAAACGATATCCAGTTTCTTCAAAGAATGGGACTTCTACAGTATCAACTGATCAGTGGAAAACTGTTCAAGCTCCAGTATCTTCTAAAAGTGCAAAGGATGGTGCTAGCATTGAAGAAATTAAAGAAGCCATCTCAGTATTGTTACAATTACCTAATACTGTATCTAATTTAAACTCTACAGGATGTGATGAATCTGAAGGCAATGTTAGAAGACCTACCTGGCCTAATCACAACAAGATTGAACCAGTGGAAGGCACGCCTGAGTGTGAAGAATGTAGAAGAGCAAAGAGACAAAAGTTAAGTGAGGAAAGAAGCTCATTTGTTCCAGGTGATGATGAAATATGGTGGGTGAAGAAGAGTTTGAAATCCTCAGAACCTCTCAAAGTTGACCAGCCACAAAAGACAACCAAGCAGGTTACTAAGAATCGTCAGAAGAATGTGCGTAAAATGAGTCTTGCTCAACTGGCAGCTTCCAGAATTGAGGGTAGTCAAGGGGCATCAACTAGTCATATGTGTGATAACAAGGTAAGCTGCCCTTACCATAGAAGTGCTGGAGATGGAGATGCTCCAAAGTCTGTGGATAGCATAAGGACAAGTAACCCTAGGGATATTGTTTTTGTTGGCAAAGCGCTGGAGCGACTTCGTTTTGTTGAGAAAAGGCTTGTAGCAGCTTGGCTTTTGACTGTTGTTAAGCAAGTGATTGAAGAGACTGAAAAAAGTATTGGTAAAGTTGGACAATATGGCAGGGCTTATTCTATGGTGGATGATAGAAGCTCAATACGGTGGAAACTTGGCGAAGATGAACTTTCTGGGATACTTTATTTGATAGACATCACTCATGATTTGGTATCCGGTGTCAAGTTTCTCCTATGGTTGATGCCAAAGGTTCTTAGTAGCCCCAATTCTACAATTCATAGTGGGAAAAATATTCTGATGCTACCAAGAAATGTGTAAAACCAAGTTTGTGAAGTGGGAGAGGCCTTTCTGCTATCATCACTTAGAAGGTTTGCTCTTCCCTTCATTCCACTTTCCCTTCTAATTTATGTACCTGGTAAACTATGATCCTTTGTTTTTGCTATCTGGTATCAAATTAGATTTGCTTTGTTCTCATCTACTCATAAATTCCTAAACAAAATCATATACCTACGAGTTAATAACACTTAATAGTTCTTATTAAGAGTTGCATTACATGAGATATGGTCTAAACATATGTTTATAAGTGGGGTAGTCCCACCTTACAAATCGGTTTTGTAAAGTTGTGCTAGACTCAATTCAAATTTTAAGATGACATCAAAGCCTATTCAATTCTAAATCTTTCTCGTTTTTCTCATTGTAACAAAGATTTATGAGTTGTCTATACTTTTTATTCTTTATGATTCTTTTGGGCAGTTTTGTAATGGTTTTTTATGGTTACGAGAGATTTTATTAAATCCTGACTTATGCATTCCTTTTGGTGCAGGTATGAGAACATTCTTGTTGCAGCAGACCTTGTTCTTGAAGCTTTGTCATTTGCAATGAATCGTTCATCCACTATTATTGCATCTAGTGGAAGGGTGTCAAACTCAGGAGCTACTGCTTTTACTCGGTATTTATTGAAAAAATACAGTAATGTTGCTAGTGTCGTTGAATGGGAGAAAACTTTTAAGTCTACATGTGATGCAAGACTCTCTACTGAATTTGAGTCTATTAAGTCAGGGGATGGAGAGTTAGGGTTGCCCTTTGGAGTTCCTGCAGGAGGTGAGGACCCTGATGATTTTTTCCGTCATAAGATAAGTGGTAGCCGGTTACCATCCAGGGTAGGTGCAGGCATGAGAGACATAGTGCAGCGCAACATTGAAGAGGCATTCCAATATCTTTTTATAAAAGTTCATGCCTGATACGGACCTTTGTTGTTTTTCCAATAGCATCTTGCGGCGTTCAGAGGATATGAAGATATCACACTTTACCTTATTCATGAAGGTGTAGACATCAACATCAAAGGTGATTTATGTAACTTAAAGATATTCCTCTAGGATCAAACTTAAATTTAAGATAATGCAAACATCACTAATGTGGTACCTCCATAGATAACTTTGGGAACACACCACTACTTGAAGCAGTTAAGAATGGACACGATCCGATTGCTTCTTTACTTGTTAGAGAAGGGGCCTCTATGAAGATAGATGATGGTGGAAATTTTTTATGCACAACAGTTGCCAGAGGAGATTCAGATTATCTTAAAAGGCTTTTAGCTAATGAAGTGGATCCTAACTTGAAAGATTATGACTATCGAACCCCTCTACATGTTGTTGCATCTGAAGGTTTAATCATCATGGCAAATTTGCTATTAGAAGCTGGAGCCAGTGTTTTTACTAAAGACAGGTACTGTTTACTGTTACTGATTCTTGTTTTACATGTACATACTAGCATTACTAGTGTTTCAAGTAGGGAACCATTCAATACTTGTTTTCACTTGAAAAATAAAAAGGGACATGCTTATTTAAAGGTGGCCTAGTTTAGTAGTGTGTCAGGCTTCTGTTTTCTAGAATTCGTCCCCATAAACCTTATAATTATAGTTTGCAAACATTGCATTAATATTATACTCTGGACATATCTGAACTTCAGTGTTGGTATGAGCAGTATTGTGTTGTGACTTGTGAGCTCTTAATTGTATTTATGGACATTACAAGTGCTTCCACCAAAATTATCTATTATAGGTGAAATATGACTCTTTCTCTTTTCCCTTCTCCATATTTCCCCTAATTTCAAACATTTAGCTGAACTGTTTATTTAGAATATACTATTGATTTGTTGTTTCTTTCCTTTTCATTGTTATTTACACTAAGCATAACCAAAACATGTTGTTCTTTTTCATTTCACTGCAAAACAGATGGGGAAATACCCCGCTTGATGAAGCTCGTATAAGTGGAAATAAGAATCTGATCAAGATGCTGGAAGATGCAAAATCTGCTCAGTTGACGTAATTCCCTTTTCCTCAAGAAATTACAGGCATTGATATGTTGTGTTAACCTTCTTTTATTCTAAGAGGTTGTAAGAAGTTCAACTGAATACACTAAGTAATCAATTAATTTATTATTAAAAAGGCAACATATATTAATTGGGTCAATATTAAGCATAAGTCGTGCTAAAAATGAGCAGTAATTACATAGTTTACACAGAGTCATCTCAAGTTTTTAGAGGCCCTGTGTAGGTTAGTTACAGTTCAACCATGATAAAATAATTAGAGGCCCTATTTAACCAAATTTTAACAATGACAAAGATTTATGAGGCCCTATTTAAGTATAGTTCAATTGTGAAAATTGAGGCCCTGTGCAGTAGCCCACCTTGCACGCCCTCAAAGACGACCCCGAGTTTACACATAATGCAACTTGTGATCTCCTTTTTCTATCAAAGACGCAACTACCTTAAACTATAACTGTATATGCTAGACAAAATAGAACCGTTCCATCTCCCTTAAGTTTCTTCTAAAATACTTGCTCAATAGCCAAATCTTCCTTTCACATATTAGCCAAACTCTTGAACCATTCCTGCTAAATAGTGATCTCACCAGTAATGCAACAAGAAACTACCTTTAAGAACAAGGTCAACAACAAAAAACTAGAGCCAAAAACAAAGTCCAACGGTTAAACCATACCTCAAAAAATCAAGTGAGGGTTAATATTAACTCTTGAATGATTTGTCACCTGTTGCCTCTTATGTAAATATTTTGCCTCTAGTTCCACATCTGAAGAATCATTTCTCCATGGAAAAGGACAACATGCGAAAATGTGGTTGTAAGAGCTGCAAAGCTAATTCCGTATTGGAACGCAAATGTGACACTAAGATAGATCTTGTTGTAATTGTTGTAACTGTCCATATCAATGTCAAAAGTTTTGGTATTGAGGATTTGAGTAATGTTGTAAGTTGCACCGGTAGAATCAAATGTGTGAGAGCTAATGATAGGAAAATTTTAAGCTTCATATAAATTATTCCAATAGGAAATTGGAATTAAAACATACATATACAATAGGAATCCAACCATTATGTTGATGATGGCAGATCCAGGAACAGCCAAAGGACTACCTATGAAGCCAACAACCGTGTTCCAGTCCAGGCCAAATGAACCAACGCCTAGGCCTTTCATGCCCGATCCGATCTGTTGCGCAGTAAAGGAACTTTTCCAAATCAAGCAAACAAAAGACACGGTCGATATTGCTTGGAAAAAATAGCCTGGGACAATGTAATATGCAAAGCTAGCTACAAAGACTATGAAAAAGAATTGTAGCCTAGAAGTTCCTCCTTTAGGCCTTTTTTCTTTTTCATGAAATGCTCTAAATAGAGACACTTGCACAAGGTTTTCAGGCCACCACATGCAAGGCGAATCGACAAGGAACCTTCTGAAAATTCCAGCCCATCCATACCCTAACATCTAAGTCGATAGCGCTAACATATACGCTGCTACTGGATTGATACTTCTGTGATAGAAAGCCTTTACAATTGATGTTAATAGCATAAACACCACTAGATCCTGAGCTAGGAAAGATAGTTATCAACGCGTGTTCCTTCAAAGAGAATGGCCCCGGATTCAATGAAAACGACAAATCTGTGAAAGGGACTTGAATTGGTTTTGTGGGAAGTGTTGCAGCCATAAGTTTCCCAAGTGGGAGTGTAATAGTCTGAGCAGAGACAAAAGTGATTTTCTTATCAACAGCTTCAAGAAACTCTTTGTCATTTTCAATATCACAAAGAGAATTAAAGTACTTGATATCATTTTGAGGCAACATGCTGCTAAGTAGTAAGTAGTTTTTCCTTGTACGATATCTTCATTTTTGTTTATGCATGTTGCATTATTGCACCTCAATATTTCTTACTTTGCATTGCTATTATAGGGGCTGCCTACTTGTGCGTCAAAACTTTTTTCATAATGATCCCAAGAGTTTTGCTCATGTGGGGGGTGGTGTTCTAGGCTGCAGGGGATTCCATTCAAGTTTTAGAGCTACTCAGAGCAGTCTCTCCCTTAACATAGGTTAAATCTTTATCTCGTATGCAACCAATCTTTATTTTTTTGGTGTTAAAGCTCCGGTTTCCATCCAGGATTTGAAATTGTCTGACTTTCCTCAATCTTCCAAATTATATAGATGTCACAACCACCATGATAATTCAACTTGGGCCTGTGGTGGATTTCTTAATTTCCAATCAAAATGCAAGAGATCCTTTTAAAATTTACTGGGCAAAGGTACGACTACTTACTTCATATTGTTTATCATCATTGATTGATCATGTCTAATCTTTTACTTGGTTCCTTAATCAGGCTAAAAGGACACTAAAAAATCTAAGGGTCAAAACTCATCCATGCAATCAAGAGGGGAAAATTTGTGGACTCAGTGACGTTCCATGCAAAGAGCTTATGTATTCCTTTTCTTTCCATTTAATTTTGTTAAATTTCTTTAGCTGAGGAAGACATATTATTGACCTTATGTATATGCTGCAATGTATTGCGGAATTGTTTTGCATAATGAGTTCATTTTTTTTATATGAATTGCATTTTGGCAGCTTTACTTTGAAAAAAAGGGATGGGGATGGTACTGAAGAAATAACTGTTTTGGATTATTTTGTTAATGTCCGTAAGATAGATCTGCGTTACTCTGCTGATCTGCCATGCATTAATATTGGCAGGCCTACACGGCCAACTTATATACCCATTAAGGTGAATTTCAGTTTTTCCATTTGATAAGTATTGCATTTTTTCCAGTGGTTTAAATTGTGTGTTTGGTTATTAACTCTCCTTTTGTTCATGTTTGTGCCTTTAGCTGTGTGAATTGGTGTCGTTGCAACGATATACCAAAGCTCTATCCACACTTCAAAGGGCTTCGTTAGTAGAAAAGTTCAGACAAAAGCCACAAGAGAGGATGAGAATTTTATCTGATGTAAGTTGTTTTGCTTAGTTTCGATTGATATTGCCATGTCATCTATATGTTGCGTCTTAAGGGTTCTTTTGTTGTAGGCTTTATAGAAGGAACCATAATCTGGTGTTGTTGAGATGTGTGGATGAAAAATAAGCAACGTTTCTTATGGAAGAAGTCCACGAGGGTACTTTCGATACGCATGCCGGCGGACATGCCATGTCTCGGAAACTATTACGAGCAGGGTATTATTGGCTAACTATGGAGTCAGATTATTTCAAATTTGCGAAGAAATGCCATAAATGCCAGATTTATGCTGATAAGATACATGTGTCGTTGTGCGCATTGAATGTTATGGCGTCCCCGTGGCCTTTCTCCATGTGGGGCATCGATATGATTGGCAAGATCGAGCCCACCGCATCCAACGGTCACCGTTTCATATTGGTAGCCATCGACTACTTCACCAAGTGAGTGGAAGCAGCCTCGTATGCCAATGTGACCAAGCAGGTGGTAGCAAGACTCATAAAGAAGGACATCATTTGCAGATATGGAGTTCCCAAACGAATCATTACTGATAATGGTTCGAATCTGAACAAAAAAATGATGGAGTTATGCCAGAACTCCAAGATTAAACATCACAAATCATCTCCCTATTGGCCAAAGATGAATGACGTTGTTGAAGCGGCCAATAAGAACATTAAAAAGATAGTGCAAAAGATGGTTGTCACCTACAAAGATTGACATGAAATGTTACCTTTCGCCTTGCACGGTTACCGTACGATGGTACGCACATCAACCGGGGCAACTCCTTTCTCACTAGTGTACGGTATGGAAGTTGTCCTACCGCTAGAAGTCGAGATTCCTTCTTTGAGATTTTTGGTCGACGTGAAACTTTATGAGGCAGAATGGATTAAGAATTGTTTGAATCAACTTAGTCTGATGGATGAAAAGAGGCTAGCATCAATTTCATATGGTCGTTTGTACCAGAGCCGAATGAAGAAGGCTTACGATAAGAAGGTGCGCCCTCGAAGCTTTCAGACGGGTGATCTTGTGCTGAAAAGATTCTCCCACCATAGTCAGATGACAGGGGCAAATGGACTCCCAATTACGAAGGGCCATTTGTCGTTCGAAAGGTTTTCTCCGGAGGAGCCTTGCTGTTAGCCACCATGGATGGTGAAGATTTCACATCCCCTGTGAATGCAGACGCAGTTAAAAAATACTTTGCTTAAAAGAGACCCGCTGGACACAAAAAGAAACGTTCAGGCAAAAATGGGGCATCCCGGCAAACCATAAAAAAGGAAAAATAGGTTCGGGCAAAAATTAGGGATAAAAATGAAAAGACGTAAACCCGCAAAGTCGAAAACCTGGAAAGGCGACTTTGGCAAAAATGGGTATCCTGGTGAATCGAAAACTCGAAAGGGCAGTTCAGGCAAAAGTTAGGGATTGGAAAAGCAAATGACTGCAGTCTGCGTGGGAACTTCATTGCTTAGTGGATTGGGAGAACCTGAGGGCTGTTTCATCCGAATCAATCTCTTCTAAAGATGAAGCATCAGGAAAGCGTCAGAGTCATGCGAGTCATAGAGGGACCAGCTCATGGTGTTTGTTTGTGCCACGTTGCCGATATTTTTGTACACTCTTGTATATCTCTGTACATATCTGTATTTATTTTGCGCAGCTTCCTCTTTTCAGGAGTTGCATCTGTTGTAAAACTTTGCCTATTTACAGGCCCTTCATCAATAAACATATACTAGTCAGTATTTGATATGTGTGTTTTATTTTAACTTTTACTGTTTTGTTTATGAAAACGCCCAATGTTTTGATGAGTATCCAGGCTCCGGTCATTTTTTCATTGAGTATCCAGGCTTCACTCAATCTTTTGTTGAGCATCCAGGCTCCGGTTCCTCCGTTGAGTATCCAGGCTCCGGTGAATGTTTCAGTTTGTGAAACATTGCTTTCCTCGCTGAGTATCCAGACTCCGGTAGTTTTCGTATATTGATGATTCTTTTGTCCGTTGAGTATCTAGGCTCCTGTCACTCTCGTTGAGCGTTCAGGCTCCGGTTTATTTCGCCGAGCATCCAGGCTCCGGTTTATTTTCGTCAAACATTCAGGTTCCGATTTACTACGTTGAGTATCCAGACTCCGACCAATTTCCAGTATGTGGTAACTTTTCTTGTGCGTTGAGTATCCAGACTCCGACAATTTTTCCGTGATTCCAATTTCGTTGAGTATCCAGGCTCCAATAAGATTCCAGTTTATGGTATACTTTTTAGTCTGTTGAGTATTCAGGCTCCAGTCAATTCTTACGTTGAGCATCCAGGCTCCAGTGACTTTGCAATTGATATATCCTTGTGGTCCGTTGAGTATTCAGGCTTCGGTCAACTTTACGTTGAGCATCCAGTCTCCAGTGATTTTATAAGTGGTATATTCTTTTGTTCATTGAGCGTTCAGGCTCTAGTCAATCTTGCATCGAGCGTTCAGGCTCCGGTCAATTTTCGTTAAGTGTGCAAACTCCAGCTGTCACGTTGAGCATCCAGGCTCCGACAAATTTCATTGATTCATTTTGTTCGTCGAATATCCAGATTTCGACAATTTGAAGTATTTCCTTATTTCAGGGTTTTCCCCAAGCAGAGTTACTCGTTAAGTTTCTCTTTTCCCCTGCGAAATGTGTTTGTTTTCTCGGATTCAGTTTTCAGAGACTTTTTCCCCATGAGGGTTTGCAGTTTTATTTCAGCGGATAGCAAATTCCTGGGTTCTTTGGTATTCAACCGTCTTTTACCTTGATTGCGTGAAAGTTGTTCGCTTTTCACTCCTTTAGATCCAAGTCGTTTGAATACGGGCAGCTGTTGCACCCTAAAATTTGCCCAACCTTTTCTTAACTTGGTTTATGTTTCATTTCATTTCTTTCTAGCATTTGCATTGCATAGCATTTTTAATTGAACAGGGGATCAAGAGATTATGCATAGAAAGAGGAGTCTACTCAGAGGGTTGACCCTAAGCAAGGGGTTCTACTCAAGTTTGGATGGTCATCAAGTCATCAGGAAGTGGGCATTGGTCTTGTGAAAGGAAATGATGGATGTATGTGGGTCAGCTCCTAACTTGGAGGCTAGTTCAAGATCATCAGGGGGTTGTGAATCCATGGTTATGGATATAATGTGTTAAGAGAGCTCATTGAGTGCCTTAAGGGTCATTGTGGAGCTCATTCAAGTGTTTGTGCTAAGTGTGAAAAGTTACAGTTGAAGGTGTTGCAATTAGGGTTTCATCTGGCTAGTCTTCAGTCAACTGTGGAATTGAAGGAGATTAAAACTCAATTCCAAGTCTCTATGGTCATGTGGTATTGTGTTAAGATATATGAGATATCATTTCAAGTTAAATTCATCAAGGATCAAGTGTGTGAGAAGTTACTAAATTAGGGTTCTCAGGGTAAAATCCCCTATTTAGTTCCTGACTTCAAGACCACCTATCTCAAGATACAAGTTTCATCTCAACGTTTTACTAACATGGAACTTGTAGAGCATGTTCTTAGCTTTAATTTGAGTACTAGAAGTCCTTGATTGGATTTATAGAACTCAAGTTATGATCCACACAAGTTACAGGTCATCAGAGGGATGTGATTTTGGTCAACAAAAGTCAACCAACTTCCAATCCATTTTTGACCTATAAGGATGTTTCTCCTCAACTTTTGGCCAACATGAAATTTGTAGATCTTGGTCTTAGCTCTCCAAAATGTACTAGAAGTCTTTCATCTGATTTGTAGAACTCAAGTTATGAGGGTTACAAGTCAAGGGTATTTTGGGAAAGTAAGATTACAGGTCATAAAATTATAGGTCCATTTCACCAACTTGCACACTTCAAATGAAGATTTTTCCAACATCAAACTTGTTCCAAATGGTGTTATTTGCTTAGTCAAGCATTGAGAAGTCAAGGAATTGGCTTGATTTGAAGAATGGATATGTGAATTTTCATGAAGAGGGATTTAAAAGGGCAAAATGGGAATTATTTCATTATTGACTATTTTGGTGCAAATAAGTGCATTTTTTGAGTGCAAACTTCATTTTGAACACATTGGCAATTTTACAATTTAAATTTGAGGTGTTTAAATGAGCCATTTTCAAGGTTTCTTCACTATGAAGTTACACAACCAACATGAGCCATTGAGATCAATTAAGGTCTTAATCCTGACCATCCATACTCCATGTGGTACCAGCAAGCTGTTTCAACCATTTTGGAGCCATTTTGAGTGCATTTTCATATACATGAAAACTTCAAAAAACTCAATTCCTTGGATTTTGGTATGGGCTGCTAGGGGCTGAGTTTGGGCTCAAAAGTTTTCAACCTTCACAAATCATCAGAAGTGGAAATTGGAGCCAAATTGAACAAGTTTAGTTTTGAAAAAGTGGTGGAATTTCAAATTTCGAATTTGGAGATTGAGGACATTTCAAGCAAAATTGTGAATTGAGAAAGCTCTAGTGAAGTTTATTGAATGATTCTGGACAATTATCTTCAAGCTTGAGCTCCATTTGAAGGCTCAGTGGAAGTTCTCCACTAGGTAATTGAAATTCAACTTTACACTCTTGATAAGCATCAATTCACTGCCATTTTTGCATATTTGAGACGTAGAATCAATGTAGATCATTAACATGTAAAACGAACTGGCATTGGTTGTGATTGTTGGATGATGATAAAAAATGTTTGGATCTGTTTTGGCTTGTTTATGCATGATCTTGCTTGTTCGAAACTTGATTTGTAACCTACGTGACTTCTAGATGAGTTTTAGATCAAATTGGAGAGGTTTTCATGAACTTTTAGATTTTGATGTTCAAGCTTGTTGGCTTCGGGTTTGGAGTTTCACGCGTGTTTAATGATTTTTGAGGCCAGAAATGAGATCCTCGTGATCTCTAGATAATTTTTGATATAAAATTTGGTCAGAGTGGTTGAGTTTTGAGGATGTGTGTTGTGTTGGTTCTGTTTACGGTGGTGTTTGGCCGAAGAAGATGATGAGGTGTGTTTTAGGGTTTCTGGAGGTAGGGGACGATGAGGTTTCC